CCATGTATGTGACAGGCCCCCATTAACTGTCTGCAATTAACTCCAAAAACCAAAGGCCAAATGCTGCCCTTCTTACTCAGACACACAATGTTATTGAAGTAAACAGCTGGAACAGGATTGGGCACCTGTGTCCAAGTGTTTACCTCACTACAACCCAAGGCCTCTCCCACATTGTAACAACTCTACTGAACGTGGGGCAGAGATTATTTCCTTGCAAAACTGACAATCTATGGCAAACTTTTTTCCAGAAACAGTATTTAAATTCCTATTATCATAGCACCCAGGATCTCAGATAAGGAACCACGACCCCTGTGCATGAGGTTCTGTGCAAAACACAGAATAAAAACCCAATATATGATTGCACACCAACAGATCCTTTCCCCCATTTCGTGGCCAGGTTTGTATTATTTCTGTTCAGTAATCTGAGTGTAACACACCACTCCTGCAAACAGCAAACACTACTCAGACATTTATTTAACTTTCTGCATGATAAAGTCCCAACTTCACAGCAATCTATTGTCTTTCCCCAGAGGTGCACATAAAGGGGTCAGCTGCTGCCCTGGGTTCTTGCTGCTGGCTCTGGGGTTTTTCCATCTATCTGCACAGTTTGGCACGTACTGCTTTCAGGTACTAATCTGATTTTCCTCAAACTATTAGCATTCTACCTTGTTGGATTAAAACCCCCATGTAATTAACAGTACGTTACAAAATATAATTTCTCTGCTGCCCACCACCACATAGATAAATAAAAGAATACTCAAGTTTAGAAAATTACAGTTTCATAAATGTGTAAACCAGACAGGAATTCACAAAGAATGAAAAAGAAGTTCCTAAGTAACTTGTAGATGTTCATGTGACTTCACAGGGATGCTAAAAAAATACAACATAACATAGCACAGTTCATTCTTATTTCTAAGAAAAAGTTACATAAATTGCTAGTTTAGGATAAATTTAAGCATTTCTGCAAATGTTTAAAGACAGAACAAACTTTAATCAGGACATAGTTGTCTTCAGTGAACCTATTTACGCATCTAGTTACTTACCTGCCTAATTTAGCATCCCCAGGATCATGGCCTCAGTTTGGAATAACCTAATGAATTTCAGTAGAGTGCCTCAGCTACCACTTGTAAAAATAGGATGATTCAAATGCAAATAAGTGCAAACATGTGCAAAATTAACATTCCTAATAGACAAAGCCTCTCCATATAGGAAGGTATTAATGCTACTACCAGAGGTATACCATAATTCCTCATGTGGACAAACTCACCCTGAGTACCGTTTTTTGATTTCACCTAAATGAATTAAAGAAGTTGGACTTAATCTAAAAAAAAAAAAAAAGAAGGAAAAAAAAAAAAAAGAGAAGATGCCAGGATGAGTGAATCTGCATGAGGGTTATACTACAAGCACTGGTTTTAAATTCACACTCTGGCGTGCACAAAAAAGAACACTTTTTTTTTGAAGATAAAAGCCTCCACGTGTAATAACTCGATATATAGACAAGCCCTAGGGGCTTGCATCTTGAGCACTTAACATTTTTGGCCTCGTCTTAATGGATAAAAAAGGTGTGTTTCACAGTCACATTAGCCCAGTCAAAGGAGCTTAATATGATGAAAAGGCCTTAGGGTTTGGTGAGGCTGAGGTGTAAAGGTGTGAGGCAGCACATCCATCACAGCGTGGGCACTGCTGCCTTCAGCACACACTGGGCTGGGCAGGGGCAGCAGGCAGGGATGGAGAACAGGGAGGGATGGGAGCAGGGAAGGATGGAGAGCAGGGAGGGATGGGAGCAGGGAAGGATGGAGAGCAGGGAGGGATGGGAGCAGGGAGGGATGGGGAGAGGGTGGGGATGGGGAGCAGGGAGGGATGGGAGCAGGGAGGGATGGGGAGAGGGCGGGAGGGGAGCAGGGAGGGATGGGGAAATGGCAGGGATGGGGAACAGGGAGGGATGGGAGTAGGCAGGGATGGGGAAATGGCAGGGATGGGGAACAGGGAGGGATGGGAGTAGGCAGGGATGGGAGCTGGCAGGGATGGGGAGCTCACAGGGATGGGGAGCCTGGCCTGTGTCAGCCCCACATTCCTACAAATTCTGGATCTGTTTTGTGGGGTGCAACTGCTGTCCAACAGAACTGAGGGTATTTCACAGAGAAGAGCAGGTGAGAAAACATCAACTACAATGAAATGTTTTTTCCTCGTGGGCTGTGAATGCCTCCAAAGAGAGCAGTTAGATGGATTTTAGGCAAACTGGACCTCCACACCATGTGCACTGCTCCAGAACCCCTGGTAACTGCAGTTCTCCAGCTATCTGGGAGTGTTGCTCAGGATGAGAAGTGAAGCTTTTCCCCCACCATGGCAGCAAAAAGCATCTCCCCAAACTGCTGGGAAAGTCCTCACTGCTCAAGGAAGGGTGTGTGTGTCATACCCACTACCCAGGCTGTGCTGCTGCCTGAAGTAAGGCAGATCCACGAGATGACAAGTAAGCAAAACTGATGAAAAGAAGAAACAAACATTTCAAGTTTAAAACTAGGCTTCCACAACACATTGGTTAGCATACGACAATTAGCATATGCTAACATTTTTTGTAGCCCAGCCAAGTTTAGTACAAATTAACCAGAAATCACGTATTTGTATGATGTAATCCTGATTTTGTCACTTGATTTAGGCTTTGTCTAGAACTCTTTTAAATTATCTTGGTCTTGGTTTTTATTACTGAAAAAAAAATCCAGTAATTTGGCTATTTCTGGACTACTTGGGTGAATATAAATACAGATGTAAAACAAAGATCACAGGCAGCTGATGTGCTTGCTGCACCCAGCTGCCCCTGCACCTTCATCCTGAAGTTTGCTACAAGGAGAACCATATGGGATGTGCAGCAGCACCAAACTGTCTGCAGTTTTCAAAACAGCACACTGAGGTAAGCAGATGTTGAACACAGTCAATTATCAATTTAGCACAGGGTAAGACAAAGTGGTTCAATATACTGAACATTTGAAATGTTAGCATGATGCCGGTGTAGCTTAAATGCAGCCTTTGTGATAACTTGGACGTTTCTGCAATGGGAACACAAGTGCGAAGAAAACAAAAATTAAACTTTTATTTGGTTCATGTAGAGTGATGGATGATCATTAAGCTGGCAGAGCTCTGAATTAATGTCATAAAACAGAAAGTATCTGGATCCCATTCCTGATATAATCCAGAATAATTTTCTTATTATTTATGTTCCATACACCACTTTAGCTGTATAAAGACAAAATTATATTTACATTCCAGTTGTCATTTTCCTTTAATTGTAACAGAATAATTTTCCTTAACTAGCTGATTTAAGACAAGATCCTGTCTTCAACTTCTTCTGTTATGAAAGTATTTGTTATTAAGCACATTGGGACAATTTAGGATGTTTTGAAGTTAAAACCACTAGCATGCCTTGTTTAATCAGAACTGCAAAGATCTCACTTATATTTCAGAAACAATTCCAAAACTACAGAAATGTTTATTTTAAGGAAGGCTAGAATGTAAAATTCTAGTTGAAAGCTTCAACGCTGTCTTGCCTTTAAAGTTTAAAAAAAAGCAGGTGTGTCAGCTCACCTGAGTTAGTTTACAATGAACTACAAGATCTCTTAACATTCAGTAAAGCAGACAACCCGTTCATTCAATATTATATATTTGCTGCAAAAGTGTGTGTTTTCCAGACAGCGAAAATTTATAATAGGTGGTTAGTGTGGCCAAGGTATAAACGTAAAAATTTTCCTGACAGAACTGTTCAAATATCCTGAATCAACAAAGCACTCCCACACTGGATTTATGTGTGACACGTCTCCCAGCTCGTCCCTCTGCCTTCTCCAAGTGACAGATAACGCCAGCAAATAGAGTTTCCTACAATTCCATCTCCGCCTCAGGTTCCTGCTCACGAGCCTCTCTCAGTCCTGCTCGGCTCTTCACACCTTTGATTGCCACAGCAGTGGCTGCAGCCGCTCACAGCACAGACCTGCCCAGCTGTGTTTGGACACGTAGGGAGATAAGGCACAGCAGCAGAACTCCTGGGCTAAGTCCCTAATTCACTCCTGTGCTAGACCACACTACACCAACGCTGACTTAGTCCTGCCTCCACTCCTGTTTTATATCGTGGTAGGTATGTATACACATAATTAACGTATTAACAAAGACAAAAAGAGAAAATATTTGAATTACACATTTTTGTATAAGACATACATCCCAAAGCTCAACCACTCAGGGGTGATAGAAAGGCATTAAAAATGTTTCCATGGGGGACCGGATGAAGAACGCAGGGACAAGTGAACCCAGTGACTTCTGTGATCTGCCATGGGATGTGGCAGCTATTCCCCACACACCAAGCAGTTGATGCGAGCCCACGGTGTGCTCATGTGTCACAGCTCCAATCAATGTGCACACGCAGAGTGGCTCTGACACATCCGAGGCTCACCCAAGCCGTGGCGCATGTGCACTGGGTCTGCTCACGCACAGCCAGCCTTTCAGGAGATGGCCTTTTTTTCACTAGACCAGATGGCAACCTGGCAACTCCAGCAAATGCCACACCAGCGATCCCACTGTGCAGAGGCAGTGGCCTTTTCCTTCCCTCTCCCTGCCCTTTTTCTCTCTACTCCACCCAAGCCTGGGCATTAATTGTTTTCAGTTAAATTACGCTAACTTGCCTGGGTTAACAAAATTCAAAGGCACTTTCTTCTGTCAGACAACATGTAAACACACTAAGACCTTGTATCTGAAAGTGTATGAGTAGTATAGCCATGCTGTCATTTGCAGACTTCGTAACACAAACATTTAGCTCGGGATGTGTTTTTGATTTGGCATAAATGAGTACATTTTCAGTGATAGGGCCAAGAAAGCCATACCAACAATCCAGCTGCTCTCCTTGCATGGCTGAACAATAGGGATGGCTCCATATAATTTTTTATGTATGTAAGTGGAGACAAATGTGTTACTTTCTAATATATTTCATACATTATATGAAAATGTCACAAAGATCTATTTAATTACTCAGAAACGTATAAAAGGAATCAACAAAGGTTTTGTTATTAAATGGTTCTGAAGAAAACAGGCCAGCAAAAGTCGTATTTGCCACAGCATACCATTTAATTTTGTATTCTGACGCTGACAAGTGAAAAATTGGGGAAGGAAAAGCAGTGTAATGGTCTGGATTGCTTTGTGTTTATTTTTACTTAAAAAAAAAAAAATAGCGACCTAAGATCAGCCCCTCCTTCCCTCTTTGTACCTCTGTGATACCCCAGGCCATTTTATCAACTGGGATTCAAACAGAAACCCAAAAGCCACTGCAAACACGCTCCGTGCGGAGCTCCCGGGATGTGTTTACTCGCACCCTTGGGGCTATCGCTCCCCACCACGTCTGCAAGTCCGGCGAAGTTCCCGAACCCGCCCGCCAAGCGCTGCTCCTCTGTCCGTGCGCGCCGTTCCGTGATTCAGCACCCGCGCCCCGAGCGCGCTCCCCGCGCGCCCGCAGCTCCGGCCCCGGGAGGGCGGGGAGGATACAGGGAGGGAGAGACGGCCGGGCTGGGGCCCCGCGGGGGCGGCTCAGGGGTGCCCTTGGGGCGGTGCCCGGCGCGGGGGCCCCGGGCCGGCGGCCGCGCTCCGCCGGAGCCGCTCCCGCCGCGGGCAGCGGAGCGCGTCGGGGCAGCGCCCGGGAGGAAAGTCCGGGGGCGCGGCCGCTTCCTCGCCCCGTGGCCGGACTTTTCTCCGGCTGCGAGGCCGCGGCGCTCCCGCCTCCCCTCGGGAGCCCGAGTCCCCGCTGGCCTCCGGGACACGTTAAATCCCGTGTAATGAGGCTTAACCCCGCCCCGCAGCCGGGCCGGCAGGCAGCCAGCCAGCCGGGCCCCTGCCCGGGGAGCCCCCCCCGCCCCGAGCGCCCGCAGCTGTTCCAGCCGGAGCTGCTGGAAAGCGGCCACGCTCCCCAGACTTTGTCTCCCTCGCACACAGCGCTGAACTCTGCTCCCTCCCTCCTTCCCATCCCCCGGGGCGCCCGCGGCTCCCCCCGCCTCCACCGCCCCGAGCCGCAGACGCGCGGCGGGGGGAAGGGGGAGCGCTCCCGCCGCCGGGCTCCAGCCGCCTCCCCGGGGGCTCCGCGGGGCCCGGGGGGAGCGAGCGCCGCCGGGGCGGGCACCGAGCGCTGCCCCCGGAGCCGCGTCCTGCGGAGCGCAGCCCGTGTGCGGGGAGCGGCCGCTCGCATTCAGGAGGGGCTTTTCCTTTTCTACGGGGAAATAAATAAAAAGAAATAACAAGGGCGGAGAGAGGGTGGGGGAGCGCTGGAGCAGAGGCCAGGGCGCGGTGCGGGGTGGGGTGCGCGGAGCTCCCCGTGGCGCCGCGTCCCGTCCGGGCCCCGCTCCGCGGTTTCCCCGCAGCCCGGCGCGGCCCCAGCCCAGCCCGTGAGGTCGGCGAGGCGGCGGATGGGTGTCTGCGCCGGGGGACGGGCGGTGGGCGGGCGGGGCAGGCGCAGTGTGGGGCCGCGGCAGGGGAGGAGGAGGGGGGCGGTCGGTCGCTGTGTCTATGTGTCGCACTGGCAGGGGGGAAGGGAGTCGGGGAGGCGGGGGTTACACACCAGGGCAGCGCCGGGATCCCTTCTCCACCCCGCGGGGAGGGGGCAGGGCGCCGCCTCCTCCTCCCCCTTCCTCCTCCCCCTTTTTCACCCTTCCTCCTCCTTCTTTCCCCAAAGTTAAACTTCCTGCTCCCGGCCCGGCTGGGAAGGGGACGCGGAGCCCGGCCGGACTCAGCCCCTCGACACACACAACAGCTGGAGCTGTCAAAACTTCCTCCGCTCGGCCTCGGCCCCCGCCGCCTCCGCCGCCGCCGCCCGCTCCTCCTCCGCCCCCGGGGGCTCTGCGCGGGGGGAGGGCGCAGGGCCAGGGTACAATGAAGCGGCGGCCGCCGCAGCCGGGCAGCGCAGCAGCCGGAGCCGCCGCCAGCGCCCGGGGCCTCTGAGCGGGGGCGCCCAGCGGCGGGACCAGCCGCGTCTCTGTCGCTCGCTCTCTTCACCTCCCCCAGCCCCGACAGACCCCGCCGAGCCCGGGGAGGGTGTTATTGTGTGTGAGACCCTTCCTTCCG